TTTTACTTATTTAATTTATTCTTTAAAATTATTTTTATTTATTGATGCATTTTGTTTTTGCATGCATCATTTCCCAGGGTAACTCTTCCCACCCTCACTTGCATTGAATCTTCCCTAGAGGCATAAATAAATAAATAAACCAAACTGACTGAAAATATTATCTCATATGGCACTGTGTGCAACATTCTCCTCCTGTAATATCATACCCTTCTTTCCAGAGGAGGAAAATGTTATACTGTTCTCCAGGACTGTGCTGTTTTCATTTATATTACTAGTCTATATATATTGTTTCCAGGTTGATTATTTCACTCTGCATCACATCTTTTAAGTCTTTGTCTTATCTGACTTCCTTATGTAATTTTTTCTGGCTCAGTAATGTTTCATTTCTTACAGTGCAATACATCCCTGTGCTTGAGTTTCTTTCAGCTATTCTCTAATCAATCCATGCCCATTTTGTTTCCCACTTTTGTGTATGTGTGCATTGTGTTGTTTTGTTTACTTTTGACTGTATCAAAAAGTACTACTTTTACCTCTTTAGGGCTTATTCTTAGGAATCTTTAAACAAGCAAAGCACTTGCTAAATATTCTCATGCTCATCTTGTGGAAAAGATACAGAGCTGTAGGTTAGTTTCAGTTAGATTAATTCAAGACTAGTTAAGTTTCAAGTAATTAATGGTTTGGTGTCAGCTTAGAACTTCTCCAAGGGGTTATCCCAACGAGGTGTTGTTAGCCCTGTGCATTTAGGAATCTTTTTATTAATGATTTGCATATAGCATGCTTCTCAAATGTGCAAACTCTTTGTTTGATCTCGGAGTCAGAGTCAGTAAAGATCTTGACAGGCCAGAGAATTATGGCAAATAAATAAAGAGATAAAATTTAATAGATATAAATGTCTTACATTGAGTTTAGAAAACTAATTTCACTAATTAAAGCTGAGGGAAGTAAGCGATCTCAAGCTGAATTAAGTAAAGTTGAATGTCCAGCCCTGGGTAGGGTCCTGCTGTGCCCTCTGCTATTCAGTTTCAGGTGCTGCATTTTAGGAAAAAACATTGATCAGATGGAGAGTCACCAGAGAAGGGCACCCAGAATAGAAAAATGCTTTGTAGTGATCCTCTATGAAGATTAGTTTAAGAAGTTCTTACATTTAGCCTGAGGAATAAGAAGATTTAGGAATAGAGATGGGCAATGTATCTTGTTTTAAGTATACTCAGGTTTATCCCCTACCAGAGGGATTAGGATTCTGTTCTGTTTGGGCCCAGAGGAAAAATTGGAAATGGTATGTAGAAGTTAAATTACAAAGAAACAAATTTAGGCCTGATGTAATTTTCTAACAGTTAAAAACTATGAGAAGGAAAAATGACTGCCTTGGAAGCTCCAAGCAAATGTTGAATACTTTTTCGGATATGTTGTAGAGTAGATTCTTCTTTAGGGTTGGTCCACGTGGTCACTGATATCACTCTTGAGCACTTTGATTCTATTTTATACATTCATTTTCTAACCTTGCATCTTTTGCTCTAATTCTTCTCTTTCTCTTTTCATTCCCTCTTCCTTTCACTGTTCAGCAGAGCAATTGTCTTATTAATTATAGCATTTTTGCCCATCACACTCTTTTAAACTTTACTAAAAAGAAGTTATTGTCTATGAAGGAGGTTGGTGCTATTTCATATTTCATCTACTGCCTCTCAACATCATATCTTAAGTAAAACAATAATAGTATGGAATAGGTGCTTAATTTAATATTTGTTGGTTATTTTGAGATCAGCATTCTGGCCAATATAAAATTTTGTTTAAATTACATCTAACTTTTTTTTTCAAAGCCATACAATTGTTACTAATTTTAGGATAAAGATTGACCTAAGTATGAATTTGTGCCAGTTACATGTCCCTGGAAATATATATAATGCTTCATTTGTTCAGGCTGTTTTTTTTGTTTTGTTTTGTTTTGTTTTTTTTAGGAATGAACTAGTCTGTGTAAATGAGTTTTCTGTGCACCTAATGCTTACTCTTCAGCTTGATGTAATGGAAAGAACATTGAGTTAGAGTTAATGGACTAGTTCTGTTCACTTCCTAGCTCTGTCAGTTACCACCTGTGTAATCTTGGGCAAGTTCCTTAACTTCCCTGGACTTCATTTCCTAGATATGTAAAATGAAGATGTCGGACTGCATGATGGTTCAAGTCCCTCCCAATTCTAAATCTGTGGTCTTATAAGTGCCTCCAAATTTTTTTTTAACCATTTTGATGAAACTTGTTTTCCTAAAATGGATAACTCCTTGTAGATCTTATGTTATAGAATTCATTTAAAATAATTTATATTTTTGTTTATGTTTCATTGGTCAGCATTTTAAACATCTGAGTTTTGCTAATTTTATTATGTCATAATTTTAAAATTTTTGAGTTGAAGGGCACATCTAGATTGAGTCTAATAACATAGAACAAGAATCCTCCCTACAGCATACCCAAGAAGTGGTCATCAATCTTTCCTTAAGGGCTTTCAATGACGGGGCCTGGCTAGTCCATCAATTTCACTATTGGATAGCTCTAATTGTTAGGAAGTTTTTCCTTACATCAAAAATTTGCATCTCCTCAGGTTTTACCTGTCGCTTCTATTTGTGCCCTCTGGAGGCAAAACAGAGCAAGTCTGCCTCCTCTTTTAGGGGATAGTCCCTCAAATACTTCGAGACAGCTATCATGTCCTCTCTTTCCCCAAGTTTTTTTCTTCTCAGATAAATCTTCTCTGTTCCTTTTTCATATAACATGAAGTTGAAATTCCTCACTATTCTTATTGTCCTCTTGATATTCTTTAGTTTATCAGTGTCCTTCCTAAAATGTGGCTCTCAGATCTCAAACACAATGCTCCAAATGTAGTTTGACCAGAGCAAAGTACATTGGTTCTCTCATCTCCCTACTCCCTAACATTTTGCCCTTTTTAATGCAGCATAAGATTGCATTGGCTTTCTTGGGTGCCATCTCATTGAGCATGCAGTCTGTCCGAAGTTGTTGTTTAACCCTCCCCATCTTGTATTTGGAAAGTTAATTTTCTGATCCTAAGTATAAGGCTTTACATTCATCTCAAATTATACCATATTAGATTTGATCCAAAACATTTAGCTTACATAGGTAGTTTTGAAGCCTGACCATGTTTCAGTTTGTTAGCTATTCCTCCCCCTTTGTGTCCTATCAAAATTTGATAAATATGTGACCTGAGGATTTATTTAAATCATAGACGAAAATGTTGAACAGCATAAGGTCAAGCACAAGCATCTGGAGCATCTTTTCAAGTTATCATCAAATCATTAATGATTATTCTTTGATCCTGTGAGTTCACTTGTTCAAAATCCCCCGATTGTGTTCTTGGTTAGCCCATTTCTCTCCATCTTTTCCACAAGCATACTATGAAAGACTTTACCAAATACATGGCTGAAGTTTAGGTGTTAGTCAGTTACATATTGACCGTATTCCCTTGTTCTATCAGTTTAGTGACCATCACAACAAAGAAAATAAAATAGTCTGGCATGGCCTATTTTGACTGAAAGTGTGCTCTCAATGATCTTTTTCTAGATATTACATATTCAGGAACTTTAAAAAAATAATATAGTGTATCATTTTGCCAGCAGTCAAAATCAAGTTCATAGAGCTCTAATTTGCAGGCTCTTCTCTTTCCCTTTTTAAAAAACAAACAAACCCCGTGGACTTGTTTCCTTCTCTAATTTTGTGACAGCTTCCTCATTATCTGTGATATTTCAGAAATCACTGACTGGTTCATCAATCTCATCTTCAGATTCTTTTAATATCCAGGGATGTAGCTCATTTGGTCTCTGCTGTCCCTGTTCCTGTTACCAACAGTAACTTCCGTCTACTCCTAATTTGCTACTCCTAATCTGCTGTGGGCTGGCAAACCAAATAGCTAAGCTTGTCACAACTGTGTCTATAATCAGAGTAAATATTGTCTGAATTGAGTTTATGAGGGACTTTCCTTTGAGTAAAGTGAACAAACTTTAGTACATAGAACCCAAGACCCACTATTGTGGCAGTCAAGGGAGCTTCCCCCCTTGTATACTGCTTCTCAACTTTTCCAGATAAATGAATGTCATGATGAAATTAAGGCTTTTCCTAGTATCATATTTAAATATATAAAATAATTTCCAAAGTTATGCATGTTTTTCAGTGTATTATATATTTATTTTGTTTGTAATCTGTCAGGCTGATTTAAGCTTCAAATGAGTATTATTGTTCGTAAGGTTTTTACTTCCTAATATACGTCCTCTGTATTCCTTATGCTTTCTTCACTATAATTAACCCAGATCCTCTGCTCTAGAAGCATTCAATTGAGAATGAAGAATGCTCCTGCATTAAAGGGAGACTATAGGAACGGTGGTGATGCAGTTTAGAGCCACCAGACAAAGCGTGCCTTGAATCAGTAATCAGTTAACAGCATCTAAAATGGAAAATGTTGTGTAGAAGGCTGTTTCTGTTTAACAGCATGGGAAAATTGTGGGCCCAAGAAATAAGAAGCAAATTAAAGAAAAGGTGAACTAGAAAGAGGAAAAAAGAGAACAGAAAAAAGGGAAAGGAGACTGTGGTTGCTTAGTAAGAGACCTCAGAGGAGAAGGCCATCTTCTTGTGAACTGATGTAATGATATTTTTCAGACAAGTTATATTTAACTTCCATTAGTTTAAATTGTATGTAATAATTAATTGTTTTTGAGTCTCACATTGCCTATTTACTGAGAAAAGTGGTACTTCCAAGCCTCAGTACGCAAATGATCTTGGGAGTGGAGGGTACACAATATTCAAATAAAGAATTGTGACTCGAGTATGGTCATTAAGTAAATAAAAAGTGCATTAAGCTAGGTGGTGATGATTAAATCGTATGAGCACAATAGCCAAGCACCTCAAAAGTTTGAAAAAGCGGGCCAAATTGCCACAACTAGGAAACTTTCATTAACAAGTTATCTCCATACACAGCAAGTTCTAGTACTTTGGCATATTGTATTTTCAGGACCACCACAACTATGACCTCGGAAGAAAAGAAGGAACGACCCATAAGCATGATAAATGAAGCTGCTAACTATAATTTGACTTCAGATTATGCAGTGCATCCAGTGAGCCCTGTGGGCAGAGTAAGTTATATTTTCTGTTAATTATTGGTTAGCAAGGCTCATTATTGGTTCACAATATACTTTTCTATAACTGGAAATACTGTATTAAGAATAATTAGAATTCAAAATTAAATAGTGTCTATGAACACTTGAAGACAACAAGAAACTGAAATATAATGTAGGATTATAATTTGATACCATGATTTGAATTTATTTTTATAATGTCCTGATAGTGTGAATTTTTATGTGAATTTGTATATAAATGAATCAGTTTAAAGTATTTCTGTTCCAGTTTCTGTTGGAAGCTAGAAATTAATTTGTGTTTACTGTAAAGAAAGGAGATTAGTTCCAGATTTTTAAAAGATAGAGACTAACTATATTTCTGTAGCTTTTTCTTTGACAAACCCATAATCTGTATCACAGAATTCTTATTGATGAATGAAAGATGAGTGCTATTGTACTTGTTTAAGAGTAGTGTAATTTATTCTGACATTATTATAGTTTAGTTAAAGGAATACGTAAAACTGGTATCTTTTGTGATTGTTTCAAAAACAATGATCAGTAGCAGAAATTTATTTAATTCATCATTTTCAGCATGGTTTAATGGAAAGAGTACTGAGGTAAAAGTCAAGAGATGTGGTCTTTAATCCTAATTCTGTCACTGTGTTATAATGTATGGATATCCTTCCCCCTCATAAGATAGGAATTGTTTCATGTTTTTAATAGGTAAAAAAAATTGCCTTAATGGTGCTTTGGTGCATCTTTAATCCCACTTATGTGGGCACTCCCTCTTCTGCATCTAATGACAACTGTCTTACCTTTTTTGTGTGGCTAGTCCACATCTTCCCATAATTTCTTTATGAGGGGTCCACCTACTGTGCTAAAAGTTGTCCTGTAATTTTCTTGACATTGTTTGGCCTATTGCATAGGAGCTGTTGATCAACTTATGCCTCAGTCTCTCTAATGACCAGCCCACTTCCTTTTCTGATCTTGAGTCTCTTAAATGACTTTCTTTATTTGGCTTCTTCTAACCAGTTCTTTGTTGGTAATAAGTTGCTAATGACCCACATCCACGCTGTGCCTCTGTTGCCGTTTGAATGACCTTCAATCGTAATTCTTCAGAGACTATGAAATTCCAAAAACAGAATCCATACAGCTGTATGAGAAGAGCATTGATTTTAAAAAACATGAGCCTCTTATTTCAGGAAGATGCTTGAGATCACTAAAAGCACTATACATTTCCCCAAGTCCAGTCCAACTCATTTTCCTCTTCCAGTTCAGTTCTGGGGCAAGTTCATTGTGTCTCCAAAATGTCTGTCCAAGATATATGTACTAACAGACCAACTCAGTAAAATTATCAATCCAACTGCATATCATAATCTGAACAAGAAACATTTTTCATCCACTGTCGTTGAGGTTGAATTTTGTTGAGTGGTTACGGATATCAATTAGGAGACGACAAAGTTGGAAGCCTTGATACAATCAACACAGTCCTCTAGAACAGTGATGTAAAACTCAAGTAGAAAGGGATCCCTGTGGGCTGCATATTGGCTTAGAAAACCACAACTTTATCTTATCTATGTTGCATTGTATTTTTATTTATTTTGTCAAATATTTCCCAATTACATATTAATCTGGTTAGGGTCTGCCTGTGAAGTTTTGGCGCCTCAAGTTTGACATCTGTTCTAGAAAAAGCTTTAATATAAGAAACAAATACCTTTGCTGAACATATATCTCCCTGTTTTATGCCTTTAATGATTTCAACAGAGGATCACCAACAGTTATCTCTGTTAGTGTATCATTCAGGGAGACTAGTTTGATATTGACATAACACATGGGAAGAGAGCTTGCAAAGAACATTTTGCTCTACTGAATCAAATGTTCTTTCTTTGATATATGCCAGACAAGCACAGTGGCAGCTGGTATGCTCAGACACTTCTCAGTCAGTTGTGTTCTGGAGAATAAGTGAATATATAAAAGATCTATCATATCATCATCATAGAGAACTTCCTTCACCAAAATAGATAAAGTAACTTATTGATTGATATATCAGAAGATAATTGTCCAATTACATAGCTTACAGGTGTCAAAAGGTAGGATTTGAATCCGTCTTCCTGATTGCAAGCTCAGTTTTCTGTGTACACTGTCATACGGTATTCTTCTGTAGAATATTGTTTGCAGAAGCCTTTCTGTAGCCTTCTCATATCTTTTTCATTGATGTCTCTACTACATTTACAGGTCATTGTCATAAAATTGTTTACAAAGATGGAAAAGTGGGCATGGGTTTATAGTCATTACTTTCTCAATTGCCTTTTAAAATTATGTACTTTTCACCCCCCCCCTCCTTCCCAAAATAGACTTTTTCTGTATATATTTGATCTGCTCCAGCTATTCTTCCCATTTTGGTGGGAACTTACTGCCATTTCTTCTCTCTCTTGCAGAATGTAGGGTCTTGTGATGTTCATCTTTGTCATTGGTGGGGAATATTATAGAAATCTTGATACAGCTTTTCTGGTTTTTGTCTGTTTAGGGGGGAAGGGTCAGCAGAATAAATAATCCCCTCAGTCCATCACAGACAAATAGCTCCAGGACCAATATGTTTTCACAGGAAGGTCCCATACCACATTAATTATATAATCAATGTTAGCCATTGGTCATAGTTGAGAATTTTAGTAAATGACTGAGCTTTTTTAGTTGGATGGTGCCCACACCATCTTCAAGTGTTTTGATAACATTTTTTTTACTGAAAAGATAGACAAGCATCAATAATAATATAACTTACAGTGTGTCAGACACAATTTCTAATGGCTCTTTAGATAACCAACTGAAACTCACTAATCAAAGTATCTATTATTGTATCTATAAACTATTTCTTATAGGCAGTTGGTTATCGCACTGTGATTTCAAATAAACTTATCTTCAGTTAAAAGGGAAACATTCCTTTGGTGTTGACTGTACATTGACTGTGATGAGGAATGTTATTTCTTTTTTTTCTGTTAATTTATTTTGATTTATCAATAATCACTTCCGTATGCTTTTGAGTTTAAAATTTTTCTCCCCCTTCCTCCCCACCACCCTCCCCAAGACAGCGCACAGTCTGATATAGGCTATACATTTACATTCATATTAAACATATTTTCACATTAGCGATGTTGTAAGTAAAAATTAAAACCAATAGGAGGAACCATCACAAAGAGGAAACCAAACTCAACAGAAGAGGAAAAAAAAATAGCAATTCAACTTCCATAGTTCTTTCTTTGGATGTGGATAGCATTTTCCATCACAAGGCCTCTGGAGATGTCTTAGATCCTTGTATTGCCAGGAAGGGTTAAGTTTATCAGTATTAGTCATCACACAACATGTCTGTTATTGTGTACAATGTTCTCTTGGTTCTGCTTACTTCACTCAGCATCAGACCATACAAGTCTTTCCATGTTTTTCTGAAGTCAGCCTGTTCATCATTTCTTATAGCACAGTAGTATTCCATCACATTCATATATCACAATTTGCTCAGCCATTCCCCAATTGATGGGAATCCTCTCAATTTCCAATTCTTTGCCACCACAAAAAGAGCTGCTATGAATATTTTTGTACATGTAGGTCCTTTTCCTGTTTGTGTGATCTCTTTGGGATATAGCCCTAGAAGTGCTATTGCTAGGTCAAAGGGTATACACATTTTTATAGCCCTTTGGGCATAGTTCCAAATTGCTCTTCCAAAATGGTTGGATCATTTCACAACTCCACCAGCAATGCATTAGTGTTCCAGTTTTCCCACATCTTCTCCAACGTTTATCATTTTCCTGTTTTGTCATGTTGGCCATTCTGATGGGTGTGATGTGGTACCTCAGAGTTGTTTTGATTTGCGTTTCTCTAATCAATAGTAATTTAGAGCATTTTTTCATGTGACTATAGATGGCTTTAATTTCTTCATCTGAGAACTGTCTGTCCATAGCCTTTGACCGTTTATCAGTTGGGGAATGGCTTGTGTTATAAATTTGACTTAATTCTCTATATATTTTAGAAATGAGGCCCTTATCAGAGACACTGGTTGTAAAAATTCTTTCCCAATTTTCTACCTTTCTTCTAATCTTGGTTGCATTGGCTTTGTTTGTGCAAAAACTTTTCAATTTAATGTAATCAAAGTTATCCATTTTGCTTTTTGTAATGTTCTTTATCTCCTGTTTGGTCATGAAATCTTCTGTTCTCCATAGATCTGACAGGTAAACTATTCCCTGCTCTCCCAGTTTGCTTACAGTATCAGCCTTTATATCTAAATCATGTACCCATTTTGACTTTATTTTGGTATATGATGTGAGATTTTGGTCTATGCTTAGTTTCTGCCATACTCTTTTCCAGTTTTCCCAGCAGTTTTTTTCAAAGAGTGGGTTCTTATCCCAAAAGCTGTAGTCTTTGGGTTTATCAAATAATAGATTACTATAGTCATTGAGCACTGTGTCCTGCATACTCAACCCACTCCACCGATCCAACACTCCACTTCCTAGCCAGTACCAAGCAGCTTTGATGACTGCTGCTTCACAATACAGTTCAAGATGTGGAATGGCTAGGCCACCTTCCCCTGCATTTCCCTTCATCATTTCTCTTGATATTCTGGACCTTTTGTTCTTCCAAATGAATCTTTTTATTATTTTTTCTAACTCTATAAAATAATCTTTTTGGTAGTTTGATTGGTATGGCACTAAACAAGTAAATTAGCTTAGGTGGAATTGTCATTTTTATTATATTAGCTCGGCCCACCCATGAGCAACTGATGTTTTTACAGTTGTTTAGATCTGACTTTATTTGCGTGGAAAGTGTTTTGTAGTTGTGTTCATAGAGTTCCTGGGTTTGTTTCAGGAGGTAGACCCCTAAATATTTTATAATGTCTGCAGTAAGTTCAAATGGAATTTCTCTTTCTGTCTCTTGCTGTTGGGAGGAATGTTATTTCCAACTATATCAGAGTGACCCTAGTCATAATTACAGACGACAAAAAGCCACGTGCATCAAGAATAATAATGCTGCAG